CTGCCACAGTGATGAGGCCCCAAAGTGAGGGACCATTTGAAGCAACACCCCAACAGAATGGAAGGTGGCTTTGTACCAAAGAGCCCAGGAGAGCTCAGTAGTGAAAATAACAAGAAGAGGCTTCAGATGTGAGTGTGTGCTGCTAAGCACACCTGCAGGACTGTCCCTGCAGACAGGCCAGTCTGAGCAGATGCTGTCTGGGGCACCTGGGACAAGAAGGATCCTGGTCAGACAGGGCTGGGGAGCAGAGCTCCTGCTGCAATGGCATTCTGTTCTTGACCAAAGCTGGATGTGACAACAAAGTGCACAGTGAGAGAGACTGAGGCTGGGGTAGTGATTTGTGTTCAGCATCATTTCAGAGATGTTGTGTGAACTGGTGTTTTCAATGACTGATGTGGATTTTCACGCCTTCAGCTCTCTTTCTTAAATTCCCTTCCCTACTGCTCCAAAACTTAGTTTCTTGATATAATTTTAACATCAAGGCAATTTGGGGCATGCTGGAGGCAGGTGTCATAGCTTTCTCCCCTGTTATAGGGTCATGGTTGACACTGACTTGGCTTTCTTCTCTGATTTTGGTAAGAGTTTTATTGGAATAGCTTCTGGTGTTATGAAGAGAAACAATCTCACAGCAAAGCTCTGGTCCTCTGGCTCTTACCATGTTAATGCCCCCTTTCCCAAATGTTTCCTGGGCCTTAGTTGTGGGAGTTTTTTGCAGATGTATCCATTGGGGCTGGACTCCACAACTCTGCATTTCATTGGTTTTGGTTTTCTGGAATATATGTGTAAAGGCAAATGCATATATGCATATAAAACAATTTATGATAAAAGAGGCTATGGAGTAGAAGAACAGGGATGAGTATATGTAAGGATTTGAAGGAAGGAAAGTGGAAGGGGCTGTGATTAAATTATGTCTCAAAAATAAAAGTACAAACAAAGGAATGAAGAGAGACAGAGAAAGAAGAGACAGAGAGAGATTTAGAGATTAATTCATGAAAAGCACAAGACTTCTCATTCTTTAGGCAAATTTAAATGCTGTGTGGAACTTCAGACACAAAGACACAAATATCCAAGGTGTGAGCGGAGCTTTAATGAGGAATCCAGGCCTGTGCAGCAATGTGATTTCCCTAAAGCTTCTCATTCCAAAGGGAAATTTCAGCAAGGTGTGTCAGTACAGATCGCATGGCCCCTCTGCAGGATTCCTTCTTCTAATGTGGGCAAACCCTCTGGGATGAAGGTTCCCTGTCCTGCTCCTTGACAGGCTATCTCAGAGAAGCCCTGCAGAGGGGACTTAGACAAGAAATGCTGGGTGGGAGTCTAGAAGAACCTTTGTGGATGCATTCATTGTTTGCAGGAAATGGATCATTGTTCTGACGACCAAGTGGGGTTGTTTATTCCCCTAGGGCACACATAGGCCCACATTGTTGAAGTGGAATTTATAGTTGATTTTTTGAAAGTAATATGAAGTTGAAAAGACAAAAACATAGAATTTGATCAAAGTTTAAGAATCAATTAAGCAGCCAGGCGGCAGTGGTGAATACCTTCTTTTGCAGCACTCAAGAGACAGAATCAAGTGGATCTCTGTTAGAGGCCAA